CATGGTTGCCCCCTGTGGTTGTAATGCAACCATTAGCTGAATATACTATCAATAAAATCCTGGGTCACAAGTACTCATCTTAATATTTAAAAAAAAAAATAATTAATAGTAAAATATTCACTTTTAAGTAGAATCTTTCATTATTTTCTAAAAATATTGACTCTTTTTTATGTACTAAATTATCTTAACTTATAAGACAAGATTATATTTTGTTGCTAACTTCTAAATTATCCAACTTTTTCTTGAATTATATTATCTTGTAAACTGTTTTTTAGGCAAATTTGTCTAGAAATTTCATAATTGATCTGTAATTAAGCTATTAAATTATATTGAATTGTAGTTTAAATCATAGTAGATATATAGTTAAATTGACAGTCTAAAGAATAAAATATGAAATGCAATTTTTTTTTTTTTTGGTATTAAGGTAAAATGAAATGTAATTTTAAAATTTATATATATGTCATATTTTTAAACAATTTTGTTTTATAACAAGTAATTTGTTTGAAGTCAGCTGTTATATGCAACGTATAACGATACATTTAACAATTGACCAATCAGAGTTGACGCTATGATTGGCTAGTAATAGATTTTGGTCACATGATCTTGGGCATGCCAAATTTTTTACATCTAATAATCTATTCTTTATAATGAATATTTGCAAATTGAAGATCAAGTGAAAAAAGACAAAAAAATCGCACCTAGTTTTTAATATTTTTTATACTTTCTGATTTGTAAAAACTTCAGCAACAACTTTATTTTAAGGGACATAAAGTACTAGGGCTAAGGTTTTGAACGAAAATTTAAAAACTGTAAATTCGAAATTCGGAAATTTGTTACGGCAATGACAGATATTATGACCTACGTCGTTATGCCACTTTTGACGTGACTATACGTCAATTGGACGTAACCACACGTCTTCAAGTGTCTGCATCTATAATACTTAATCAATAAGAAGAACCTTATTGAATCCAGGATAATATAAAAGTTAAAATAACGCTCGAAATTTTGTTATACCAGACATAGGGTTCAGGGCATGGGAAAAAATTTGGGCATGCCCCTGAGCTAAGGCATGCCCCTCATGCCTATGGGCATGCCCTTTTTAAATCATATGATTAACACATAGTTTAAAATTTTTATATGTTGATTTAGTATCTATGGTTCTAGTTTACCTGAACTTATTAGCCAATTAAAATAACTTTAAACATCACATGACAAGGGCATACCCTTTGGACTTGAGGCATGCCCCATGCCTTGTGCCCTGAACTCTAACCAGACACCTATATAACTGAACTTTAAAACCTTTGTAATTTAAACTATCCCTATTTTCATTTTCTTAGGTCCCTAAGGTTGGTGTATTCAGTTGACTTTATATAGTTTAGCTAATTAGGGTCACTGCTTTAGATGTTCCCTATTTTTGGAAAATAAAATACCCCGATTATTTTACAAATTTGTAAGCTATAAGTGATAATTCAAAGTGATATTTCGATATCAACCATTTTATGAAAATAATAACCAAGCATTGAATTGAAATGTCTGTTGTGAGTGTGAACGATCAGTATTTAGCTACCTTGGCAAACCTTCTAAAGCAAACGCTCGAACCTACTACAAGGCAGCTTGGTAAGGGTCAGGCTGTAACCTTATTTGAAAAGACGTGAGCGTCGATAATGTTTATGTTAATTACTTCTATGCGGTATTTGGTTCGATAGCTGAAGGTGAATTATTTACTGCGGAAGCCAAAGAACCAAACTTTCCTATTGCTATCTTGCAATTAATCACTAAAGAAAATACAGATCCGAGTGTACGGTTTGCTGGCTCGTTGCTTTTTAAAAATTATGTGAAAAGGAACTGGGTACGGATAAAATGAGTTATAGTGACGCGCTTGAACATATTTCGCGAAAAGAGTATTCGTGCTAATTAATTACCTCTTGATAATTTATTAATCGGAACAGGAAGACGAGTCAAAAATCCCATCTGAAGTTCGAAATGCAATTAAAGAGTGTATCATTGATATTTTAGTTTCGGTTCCAACAAATATACAACTTCAACTTAGCGAAGCTGTAACCTTAATTGCCGAAAGTGATTTTCCAGCAAATTGGCAAAATTTAATACAGGTACATATGCAATTATAATAAAAATCCTTTTTATAGAATATATATCTTGTTTCTAATTTTTGCTTAAACGTAGCAACTATCTGGAAGGCTTGATCCAGATGATTATGCTCGGAATAATGGCGTTTTGCAAACTGCCCATTCCATATTTAAGAGGTATTGTAAATTTAATAAGTTTAATGATATGCATTGACCATGTTGCTAATGGACTTATCGCAAAATTTTTTGTTTGTAAAGGTGGCGACATCAGTTTCGTTCAGATCCATTGTTTGCCGAAATTAATTTCGTGTTGGAACAATTTTGCACGCCTTTTTTTCAACTTTTGCAGGTGATATTTTGATGCCATTACATTTTTATACTTGCTGAATGAACCTATATACTGAAAGTCTAATTAAAATAAATATAGAATACAGACTCCAAGATTACAGAATATGCACAAAATAAACAACGACTGCAAGTGTACATGCAAACCCTACTACTTCTAATGAAACTTTTTTATGATCTTAACTGTCAAGATATTCCACCATTTTTTGAAGATAATATGGAACAATGTATGGCATTGCTACATAAATATATTGTATATTCCAACCCTTTGTTAGAATCAGAGGTAAATTTATTTCGTTTTTTATGCCATTATTTCATATTAACTTAATCTAAATATCAATAATTATTTGTGTTGCATAAGAGTGAAGATGAGGCAGGCATTTTAGAGAAAATCAAATCTTCAATTTGTGAAATAATAACGCTATATACTATGAAATATGAGGAGTTGTTTATTATGCTACCTCAGTTTGTCGAGACAGTGTGGCTTCTGCTGACAACAATAGGTATAGAAGCAAAATACGACCTTGTGAGTATTGAATTTATATTAATGTTTCTCTACAATTATTTTTGTAAATGTATCTTAATTCTTTTCATGTAGCTTGTAAGCAAGTCGATGGCTTTCTTATCTACAGTTGTAAAGTTGGAACGATATCATAATCTGTTTAACAACGAGACGGCACTCACTCAATTTTGCCAAAAAATTGTGCTTCCTAATATGTATTTAAGAAGTAAGTGACTTTGCTCTTGTAAAGACACGAATCGATTTAACATAAATTACTTTAGTAGCTTATTAAATATACCATTTATTCATCAGACATTGATGAAGAATTATTTGAATATGATCCTATCGAGTTCATTAGAAGAGATATAGAAGGATCTGGTATCTATTAATTTGTATTATAGGTTCATGATAATGCCGAGTAATGTAATAATTATCCGTATATATTTATTTCCAGATAGTGACACTCGCAGACGAGCCGCATCAGATTTTGTGCGTAGTATGATGACACATTTTATGAAAGATATAACACGAATTATTGAAACATATATAAACCAATTCCTCAAGGTACACATACATTAGTGTAATAATGCAGAATTATGTCAAGAACTTTCTGACTCTATTGATTTGCAGCAATACAATGAAAATCCCAATAATTGGAAAGATAAAGACGCTGCAATCTATCTTTTGACTTCAATTGCTACTCCTGGTACTGCGACAAAGGTTAGCACTTTGTCGGTTATTTCAGCATCTTGTAAAAAGAAATTTGAACATTAGTGCATGAATTTCTTATTTTGTATGCGAATTAATTATTAGCACGGCCTCACAGTTGTTAACGATCTAGTAAACGTTGTAGAGTGGTTCACTAAAAATATCTTGCCGGACTTGCAAACACCCGTTGATAGCGGGCAGCCCGTGTTAAAAGTTGATGCTATAAAGTACTTGTACACTTTCAGAAATCAAGTAAGGGGCAAACTATTTAATCCTAAATAATTACAACGCAATTATTCAATCCTTTATTTGCAAAACAATAGATGAGTAAGCCGGGACTAGCTACAGTGTTTCCGTTATTGGTTAATCATCTTTCATCCACCAACTATGTAGTTCACACATACGCTGCAATTGCAATTGAACGGATTTTATTTATGCGCAAGGACAATACTATGACGTAAGTTTAAAAAATTGTTAAATATTATAGTATTTATTCACCTTTAGCAATTATTTTGTCAAAATGTGGTTATCTTTCAGATTCAATAAGTATGATGTAAAGCCTTATACCCAAGAACTGCTTATCAACTTGTTCAGGTTGATTGAGGCTGGGACAACACCGGAAACGTTAGCTGAGAATGATTACCTTATGAAAGGTATATTATTGTTTAATTAATGTAATTAGATTTATGTCTAAAATTTTCCCTAAATGTAGCTGTCATGCGAGTTATTTTTACGAGTCGTGATGATATGTCTCCGTATGTTGGTGACATCTTGAGTCACTTGAATAAAATTCTGGGTGAAATTAGTAAAAATCCAAGTAATCCTCGCTTCAATCATTATGTTTTTGAATCTATTGGCGCTTTGGTAAGGTATGTATTACGTTGTACTTATTTTTAATAATTCAAGAATATTCTACTATGTAAGAATCATGATATATTCATCTGCTTATTATACAGGTTCAATTGTTCAGACAATCCAATAGCGTTACAAAATTTCGAAAACATGTTATTTGGCCCATTCCAAATCATTTTGCAGCAAGATGTTGTTGGTATGCAATTAAAATTATTATATATAGTTTTAAATGCTTATTATCGATAAATTAATTAAATCCCTATTTCTTTTAGAGTTTGTTCCATACGTGTTTCAAATATTTTCACAGCTTCTTGAACTACATACTGAAGCTCAATTGCCTGACGTATATAAAGGCATGTTACCAGCATTATTAACACCTAACTTATGGGAATCATCTGGTATAAAAATCCTTTTATTTGCTACAACCTTTTGTATCATTTGTATGCAAAGGTTGAATTCATTCTAACCGTTATATTTTATTTAGGTAACATTCCAGCCTTGGTTCGCTTTCTCCATGCTTATCTTTATCGCGATTCTTTAGCTATTGTTGCCAATAAACAGCTCGAACCTATTCTTGGTATCTTCCAAAAGTTGATTGCTTCAAAAGCAAATGATAAATACGGACTTGAACTATTATGTTCAATAGTTCAATATGTACATACGTAAGTTCAGTATTCAATAAGCAATTTATTATACAATGGTATCAAACTCGTATAAATTCATTTATTATATTCCAGAGGAACACTTAATCAATATATTGGTGCCATCATATCTTTATTATTGAGACGGTTACAAAGTAGCAAGACTGAGAAGTTCGCTTTAGGCTTTGTTAACTTTGTGTGTTTCTTCATCGCGATAAACCTTCATGGTGGTCCTGATTATGTCATACATGCCTTCGATTCTATTCAAGACAAGTACATAAAAAACTTGTAATTTTTTGATGAGTAAACTACACACACGGTCATGGTTAATTTGCTTTATGAATTTTCAGGTTATTCTTGGATGTTTTAAATGCTTTTATCATCCCGGATTTACAAAAAATTCAAGGGTATACAGACCGTAGGATTTGCGCAATAGCTATGATACGTCTCTTGACTCAGAGCGATCTGATCTTATCTGAGAAATATATCAGCACATGGTAATTTATATAACTCTAAAAAGCATTATTTATTCGTACATTCACTATTTTCATCAATTTAGGCCGGTTATTCTTGCAGCACTAATCAAACTATTTGAAGCACCAACAGAGATTGAGAGTTACGATGCTGAGGAGGAATTACTCAACTTTGATTTTGAAGAGGATAGACAATTTCAAACTACCTTTGCCAAGTTAACAACTGCTAGCAAACCAAGGATTGATCCTACTGCATCTATTCCTGAACCTAAAGTGTATTTGGCTCAGGAACTTCAGCGGCTTAGTCAAGCATATCCTGATGGAAGGGTATTTAGCATAAACATAATATATTCATGTATAGCAATGTGCTATTGTATTATAACTAACAGTATTTGTGCTTCATTAATTTAGATAACTGAAATGATACAGACAAAGCTTCCCACAGAATGTACGCATCACTTGGTCCAGTACATGTCATTAGCTAACCCTACCCAAGATTAGGGATAATAAAGTTATTTTAGGTTTGGTTTGGGTTTTAAATATTTAGGTTTAAATTAAGAACCCAAGAATCAGGTTTTTATATAAATTCAAATTTCAATGTTTTGTTTATAAGGTATAAAAATAAAAATATATTAATAAAAAGTTACTTAATTCGTATTAAATTTTCAGAATATACATCTTTTAATTTTTAAATAACTTTGTATATGCTAATTTAATTATTTAATATAACGGATTATTATTAAAATTTGGAATTTTTTTATTAAAGTTTATTATATATAGTACAGTATTGGCAATTTTGGCTTCAAGTAGGAATTTTTAATCTTCCAGTGGAATTTTGTAATAGTAAAAGCTCTAGTGGTACTATTAATTTTACTTCTAGTGGTCTTCCAGTGCCAACACTAATATAGTACCGTTAATATCAACATCTTATTGAGAAAATAGGCTGAGGCTATATAAAAATTATCCCACTGTGATCAACCCTCACATATATCAACACAATCGTCTAATCCAAGTGGTTCGAGTAACTTGTAATTATTTTTTAATCTAAGGTAAAGGGGGTAATTTGACGAAGCTAACAGTTTTTATTAATTAGAATCCATAAAAACTTATATCTTTAAATTTTTATTAAAATTAATACAGATTTTAACTCGTTATAATTAGAGGTTACCCCCGTTAATATCAAACCATTTGGATTAAACTATGTTGATATATGCTAGGGTTTATAACAGCGGGATAATTTCCTAAGAGGTTGATATTAACGGGGTTACCTGTATTAAAAAAAACCAAGTTATGTGATGTTAGTACAGATGCTGTAAATCTGAAGCGAATTAAAAAAATTATCCAATGATTTATATAATTGGTCACGGGACGGACAGATGACAAGCCGTAGTGCACTGACTAAAAGTCCCCCATTTTGAATACCCGGGTTATAATATATGGTGTAAAATTATGTTATTCTGGTATAATTCCAAAATTTTGGCACAGCATACATAGATTTAAATTTGCACTTATATCAGCGCGCGTATAAAATTTTTTTTTGTACACATTTTTTTGCGTTTGCGCGAATAAAAATTTATTGAATTTATAACATTGAACCCCAGATCTTTTAGTCAGTGCATTACGGTACCCCTAGATCGCCACTAAGACTGTCCAGAATTATGATCTGGTCATTGCCAAATTATGCGAGCGGAAAACTTAGAATTATGCGAATTATGTAGGGATGTTAATCGGTCTTTTGGGAACTGGTCCTTACACTGACAATCATAATTATTGTTTCACCGTGTTTAAAATTTTTAGAGTGTGATATTTCACATTCTGTAAATCACAAAACTTCAAAGGTGTAAAGCTCTTAATTTCTTTTATTAAATATAATTTTTCAAAAATATATTTATTATTTTTGAAAAAATTTACATGAATTTTTTTTGATTTTTTTTAAGTAAATTATTTTTTTTAGTTTAAAATTTACCATTTAGTATACTTTCTTTTAACTTTGAGAACATTTTTAATTTATAGTAACATCATGTTAATTAGCTTTAAAACATAATTATCATCAATCTTATTTCATATTTTTGAATCTTATTTTGATTTTTTTTTTTTGGTATTAAGGTAACCTATTGAGTCTTTTGATTTATTAACATTTTTGAAAATGTAGTTTTATAAAAAATTATTATAAAAAAAGTGTACAATTGATTATTTATATAATTTTTTATATTACTTATTTAAGAAATCCACCCAATATTCTTTACCAATTGTTATACTTAACATTTTTGGTTAGGTATTTTATTTAAATTCTTTGAACCTGTTTTGTGCTAACTTCATCAAGTCAAGTTTGGATTTTTATCTTAATCTTAAGATATTTTTATCTTTGAGGTAAACTTTCTAAAACCTGCTATATATTTATTTTACAGTTGATCTATAGTTAAATCAACATTTGCAGTTAGGTTAATCTTAAACTACTATAACTTTGCAGAGTTTATTTAAACCTTAGCACTTACTTTACTACATATTTTTAGTTTTTATTATATTCTTATCTTTTCTTCAAATTCTTAATTCAAATAGTCTATATAGAATTATATACAGTCTATTAGTATATTAGATTAGCCTAATATCTTTTTTTCTAATCCTTTTTGTTAGAATTTTAATAATCTGATTAGTAATACCTTTTATTTAAAGATTTTTGTCTGTTTAAATACTTTATATTGGTATTTGTTTTCTAAATCTAGTCTTTATAATAGTGTTATTAAAGATTTGTATTATCATTTTGCTTAAATTTTTTTAAATAAGTTTTTTGTTTTTTTTTGTTTTTTTTTTTTTTTTATAATTAAAATTTCTATCTTGAGAATGCAACATTTTTATTCAACTATATTAGAACACAGTATGCCATCAGAGGCTCACCTTACATTGAAGGTTACAACTAGTCATACATGCACTTTTAGTGTCTAATTTAAGTAGTCTGTTTACATATTGCTATATAAGTTTTATACTAGTTGTTATACCTGCAAGCTAATTAGAAGTCTTGTCTATTTAAACTTTCTGCATATGCAATCCTTCTTGTATTACAAAAATATCTCAAGGTTACACCTATCCAAGTTTTTAATACTTGTTGTTACTCTTAGGATTAATTTATTCTTAACAGGAAACTTACTAGAGCCTTTATGTTCAATATATATAAACTTGGTTTTATACAATATGCTATAGTTACCTAACACTTGTGGTCATAGGAATTACCTATTTAATTGCTATATTACACTATTTTTATTCTTGTAAAGTTCACTAGAATCCTAGTACTTATCTTCTCAACATCTTCTTTATCATCTTTTACTAGCTGCAACTCAGAACCAGTAGTCTTTTCCAGACTACCAATTCAGATAGTTTGGTATAGTATGCTTCTGTATCTTTTTTCTTCAATGAATTCAGTAGCCTGGTTGATTATGTGTTTCTCTACATATATTTGGTGTCTGGTTTAACTTTCAGTTCCTATAAAAGAGTTTCATGAACTTTAACCAATCTAATAGTACTGTTAAAAGTTCATGCTATCTCTTTATTCAGGAATTTCTAAGTAGGTTTCTATTATCTTATTTCTTTAGTCTTCTATACTCAGTGGTCTTATCATGGGTTTGCATCAAAGTCTTATATAATACTGATTATACATTCCTCTATATACATATAATGTTATACTTCACATAGATGTTTCAAGTTTCCAATATCAGTAGAACCTGATTTGGTGTACCTGAGTTACAGTCATATAAGGTCAACTAATCAATAGAAGACAGTTATGATAATACAGATATAATTTCTAAATTTCATCATAGGTGGGATTTGAACCTTAGACCTGCTACTTGGAGAATAACAACTCAACTATTATACTAGGATTGTTATCTTCTTTTTGTTTTTCAATTTCTATAAATTTATATAATTATAAGAACTTATTTAGGTTTATACTACCTGATATCAATTTGCATTTCTTTTGTATAACTAATTATACAAATATTCTATAATCTGTTAATTATTCTAGTATAATCATAATTATAAATATTTTAATCTAATTATTAAAAACAGTTATCATAATACAGATAAAAAATCCAAATTTCATTATTTATAAGTTTTGAACTTATAATATATTACTTAAAAAATTGATAACTTATTTACTTTATTAAGTTGTCATATTCTTTAAATCTTATTTTATAATCTGTCTTACTAATAATATTATTAGAAAGTTGTGATGCAAATTATTAACTCTTTCTGATGATCACTTGTACCAATTTTCTACAGCACAAAACTGATTATAACTCATTATTTTATTAAGTAAACTACTTCTGAGTATCTAAATAAAGTTGTTTTTAATATAATTTTACATTTAAATAGTCAAGTTTTATATCTCTAAGTTTTTTATTCATAGAGATATAATAATTAAATACTAAAATTCTTCTATCTACTTTATCATAGATATTTATTAAGTAAACTGCTCTTGCTCATTAGAACAAACAGAAAAAGCTTATTAACAGCTTCATTTTGATATATTATTTATCAAATTTGAACCAGATTTGACTGATTTATTAACAAAATACTTGAAACTCTCTTGCAAAAATTCTTAAATTTTTTAATTTTTTAATTTTTATTTTTTGAAGGTTTTCTGTAGCCTACTCCTGTCCAAACCTACCCAAACAGGATTACTAACCCATATTACATAATCTATTTTTAATATAACTCAATTACAAATTTGTATTCTTTCTAAATTTATACAAATTTGTTTAATATTGTTTCTGATTTACAGATAGATCTACAAAATATTACATATTATTTGTAACACTTTTCTATTTGTCATTTCCACTTATTTGTCACATTCTTTTATCTGTCACATCTCTTATTTGTCAAATCATCTTATCTGTCACATCTATTATTTGTTACACTCCTATATCATTTAAATCCATTTTAATTCAAAAATCCTTATGGGGTGTGGTGACCTAGTGAAGTGGTCAGGTTGTCAACTCTCCAAGTGGTAGGTTGGATGTTCAAATCCCATTGACAGCGAAAATTTGGATAATCACCTATGTAATATTCATATTACGGCAACTGTTACTAACGATTGGGTTAGGATACCTGTA